CATCTACCCAGTGGGTTTCTGCAGCACACGGGTCTACGCCAGCATGCGGCGCCCCGACCAGCGCTGCCTCTACACCTGCCAGATCAAAGACGGCGGAGTGGGCCCCCGCTTTGAGATTGTGCCTGAGGATGAGCCGGGCAGTGCCCTGGCGGGCACCACAGCTGACACCTGCCACGCCCAGCTGCTGGCGGCCATCAGTGCTGCCCGGGGGCGGCCCTACCCTGAGCTGGAGGCAGCCGGGGCTGATTTCTTCGGCTTCTCGCACCCAGCCGTGCACAACCTCATCCAGAGCTGCCCCGGGGCCCGCAAATGTGGGGCCTACCGCTGGGTGCGCTTCGAGGTGTGTCGTCCCGGGGATGGGCAGGTGCCCCAGGGGCTGCCCGACAACTGCGCAGCCACCGACTTCCAGTCCTTCCGCCGCCGCGCCCAGGAGGAGGAGGAACGGGACCGCGGAGGGGGCGGAGCTGGGGGGCGGGCACTGGGGCTGACCCCTGCCCAGGCCTTCACTTCCCCCTGCTCCTATGAGGAGGTGTTCCTGAGCCGCCCTCTCGAGTCCCCCAGCCATGGCAGCCCCGATGGCTCTGACGACTGAGACCCCTCTCCCCCTCAGCCCTGGTGTGGCCTCCATGGAGCCACCCCCCCACAGGCCCGGTACGGCCTGCACAGCTCTTCCCATGAAGCGCCCCCTCCCCCTCCATCCCAGCCTATGCAGAGTTCCCAGCTCAGCATGGCCCCCACAGCTCCTGCCACTGAGCCCCCTCCCCCCTGTGTGGGCATCAGAGGCCCCTGGCCTGATCCTCACAGCTCCTCCCACTGAGTTCTCCCTCTCCACCACAGCATGACAAACCCCCCCCCCCCCCAGCTGTGCTGGCTCTGGGGGTGGTGCTGTCTTTGGGGACCTGTGCAGCTGACTCCACATGGGGCTTGTCCCCACCCTGTGTGAACACTCTGCTCACTAATAAAGATGATGGTGGAAGCCACATCCCTGGTTCTGTCTGCTCCCTTTCCTGGGTGTAGGAGGGAGGGGAACAG